TATCTAGGTATTATTATTGATTAAAAAGCTATTATGAATTCATTTACAATCAAATAAATATTTTGAATCTTTTTAAATCATAAAATTAGTTTCACATACATAYCTACAGTAATACATGCAGAATTTTAATAAATGATTGATAACTGTTATTGTAAAAGTGAATACATAAATATCATTTTATCAGACTTAACAAAAAAATTTAAGATGTAACCCAAATGGTCACTAAACGAYTTTTGTGAAGGTTTAAAAAAAAATACATAATTCCTAAACGACTTCAGTATGCAATAAACAAAATTATTTATATTTTAATTTGCTTACACATTTAAAAAAAAAACCCATCACATGTTTAGTCAAAATTTAACTTGATCRTTAAGTTATTAAGGAAGTACAAATTATTTTCACTTTGAACTATATAGCATCAGGTTATCTGGTTTAAACAATAATAAAARGTTGAAATTTATCTTCTTGTCATACTAACCAACTAGCATATTTAATTACATGCAATTTTATCTGAGTATTGCAGTAAACACAGTGTAGRACAWTTTAATATTTTGTGAAATTAAATTTTTAACTWTACAATTATTTGACATGTTAAATGGAATTTTAGAGGTTTTAGGTCATAAWTGTATATTTTGTTTTTATATTTTTAGGTCATTWAAATCCGAGACTTATTTATTATGTAACTAAATTGTCTATATATKTGTATGATTTTTTCTTTTTCTTTTAAAATATATGTAATAATAAAGACAATGAATTTTCATTTTAATAATTTATAAGCTAAATAAACTAAGTATACCRATTAAAGGAATGTATACATTGGATTTCAAGTYTCTTTTCATATGCTACCAGATACCTAACTCAATTAAATTTGATTTAATGGTTATGGCGCTTAAATCAAAATTGACTGAAAGAGACTAAATTTGGTGTTATTATTCAAAAATATGTGATATGTAAATGCACTGTATGAAAAATGATATTATCTTAATGTTATATTTACTTTCTGTTCTTGATACAATTCATATTCTGTACTATATTGTTCTAATAATTTAGTTTTTATATTTTCTGTTATTGGAAGGACATCACGGAGTGCCCGATAATTTAAATTGCGTTCTTCAATTGGTACATTTTTGTAATCTGGATGTTCATTAATAGTTTCCAAAAATAATCTAAAATAAAAATAAAAATGTATATTTAATAATTAATATCATTCAATGTTGAGTAAGTTTATATTTAAAAATAAACATTTATTTAGTATCACATTCCTTGTTAAAAACAATTAAACTCATTCTTCTTCTATTTTTTAAAATATATTTATTAAATAAACAAAAAAAAAAAAATTGACCAAAACTAAAGCTAGTAAATCTATCATATAAAACTGTAATTAGTTATGAATTGAATACAGTAAATATTCATATGTGTGTAGGTATTACTCTTTAATTTAATTTAATTAATATATGGACATTTGGGATGAAATGTTGGGAATATTTCCCCAAAATGTCTTTAGTTTAAAAGCATAGTAGCATTTATTTAATAAAATTATTATTATTATTTTTAATTTGTTAATAATAAAACCTAGTAATTAAATTATTGTTAGCTATATTTTACATCATAAAAATTATACTAAATTAATAAKAACCCCGATAAGAACAATATCTATTGTAGATTAGGATTAAATTATACACGTTATATAATTAATATAAATTAAACAATTACCTATTATATCTTACAAATAGATTGGTAACTAATTACAAAGTAAAACTATTGGAAAGTAATAATTGGTAATAGTTGACTAATCAAGTAATTTAATATTATATATAAAATATATAAGTAAAATTAAAATATATTATGATTCTTGTGGTAAATACAAAGGTATTTAAAATGTATTCTGTATAGGAACAAATGCACTTTACCACCCTATGCAAATTTTTCGATTTTTATTTTGGAAGTTACTTATGTTTGCCATTTTATAAGAATGGTACAACCAGATCGGACTTAGTTTCGAAGTTATTGCCTTTGAAAGTAAGCAATTTYATGTTTTTACACATAGCCAATACACTAAATTTAACATGATCTTCATAAATTTTTTTTTTTTTTGGTACTTACGTATTCTAAC